ACTTTCATTTTCACATAATACTTCAATAAAATTACACAACACCAGCAGGGAACGAGGGTGTCGTATGTAACCGAGACGTTCCCTATCTGTCGGTCACTATGAGTTATGTCATGATCAACATTATGAGGCCCTGGAAAGCGCCACAACCTTAACCCCGTCACAACCCCATGACGTAGCCAATGTTGGCAAGTGGCCGCGTGTCAGAGAAACACTACGCAAAGGTCGTAACCTTCCCACCGCCCCAGCGCAAATTTGTTGACCTTGGTACCCGCAGGGACCACAGGTGAACACATCGCTGCCGGAGATAGCCAAGCCATTGTTCCTTTTCCCACAGAATTTTCTTAGCAGAAGGGATTTCGACCTTCAACGAAAGATTTTATTCAAGTCTTTCTGATTTGTAGTTTACAGCTTAGGCAGAAACGAAGGGGAAGCGAGCCTTCTGGAGAAGGGCGCTACGGAGGCCACACCCTACCCGTAGGGAGGTAACATTTGGAGATTATCACATAGACTGACCCAGGCCTGGGGCAGTACTACATATGGAATGGGTCTCTGGGGCAGGTCCTGCCTGACAGTAGGGATGGAACAACTGCCAGCAGAGACTGACAGAACACTCTGTCAAGGGGAAGACTGCTCCGCCCTGTCTGACTGCCGGGGTGCTGGAGGATACTCCGCCAGGGTTCGCCGTCCGGGGAACTTACTGGAGGAGGAGAAAGGCGCTCGCATCCCCGGGTGAGGGGGAATGGTGCAGCAAGCGTGACACCGGCCAGCTCTTCCCGCCAATTACCTGTTATCCAACACACGGGAAGAAACTGGCTCAACGCGGAGACTGTAGAATCTCGCAAAGTTGTTCGGTGTCGCCCAGCCCTCAGCTCTACCGATGTCTGCCAGAGAGGCACCGTGCACCAGCGCATTGGAGGAGGCAACACTCTGTGTGGAGTGAGCCCTCACCCCCAGCGGGCAAGGCACGCCTTGGGATTTGTATGGCAAGGCCGATGGCATCCACTATCCAGTGGGCCAACCTCTGCTTGGAGACAGCCTTCCTTTCTGCTGACCTCCATAGCAGACAAAGAGCTGCTCAGAGCTCCTAAATCTCCGGGTGCAGTCCATGTATATGCGCAGTGCTCTTAGGCCAGAAAGCTGCAACCAGTAAGACCTGCTCCTCGTCCTCCCTGACCGTGCACAGTGTCTGTGCGAGAAGGCTCACTGGGGGAAACGCATACTTGCGAAGAGCCCGAGGCCAGCTGTGTGCAAGTGCGTCTGTGCCGAGGGGGAACTCGGTCAGGGAGCGGAACTGCCGCAAGGCCAGATGCACTGCCAACAGCTCTAGGCAATTGATGTGCCAAAGCAGTCGGGGCCCGGTCCAGAGCCCCGAGGCTGCCTGCCTGTTGCATGTAGTGCCCCAGCCCGTACTGGAGGCATCCGTCATGACAATGACAAGCCGGGACACTAGTCCTAAGGGCACCCCGGCCCGTAGAAAGCAAGGTCCGACCAGGGGCTGAATAGGCGGTGACACGTCGGTGTGATGGTGACATGATGTGTACCGCGGCGCCATGCCCACCTCGGGACTCGGGAGTCACTGCGAATGCCATATGCCCCAGGAGCCTCTGAAAGTGTTTCAGTGGTACACAGGCAGTCCAGCACTGACTGGGCATGCTCGTTGGTGAGTCGCGCCGTCATACTCACCGAGTCTAACTCCACACCGAGAAAAGAGATTCTCTGCACAGGGGAGAGCTTGCTCTTTTCCCAGTTGTCCCGAAACCCCAATTGGCTGAGGTGCCGGAGCACCAGGTCCCTGTGATCGCACAACTATTCTCGCGACTGGGCCATAATGAGCCAGTCATTGATATAGTTGAGGATCCTGATGCCCACTTCCCGTAACGGGGCAAGGGCACCCTCCACAACCTTCATAGAGACGCGGGGGGACAGGGACAGCCAGAAGGGGAGGACCCTGTACTTCCATGCCAGAACCTCGACCGCAAACCGTAGGAATGGCCTGTGTCGAGGGCACATTGAGACATGAAAGTAAGTGTCCTTCAGGTCGACCGCTGCAAACCAATCCTGGAGCTGGATGCATCTGATGAATGGGAGCTTGAGAAGGGCCCGATTCGAGACTCGCAGATCCAGGATTGGCCAGAGGCCACCGCCCTTTTTGGGTACGATGGGGGGATCGGGGGGTTCCCACATCTCCGGGTTGCCCGTGTCAGGGCCGCTTCATCAACTTCTTAGACGACTTAGCGGCCGGCTGGCCTTGATGTTGTTTCAGCATGGGGCGGATCGGCTCTGGAGGACGCAAGAGGGCGCCCACGGCGACGAGCAGACTGGGGCTTGGCCCACGGCGGAGCAGTGGCAGATGGTGCATCACGCCGGGGCAAGATGTGTTGGATGGCCTCGGTCTGCTTCTGTACTATCGAGAACTGCTGGGCACAGTCCTTGATGGAGTCGCCGAACAGTCCAGCCTGGGAGATGGGAGCATCGAGAAAGCGCACTTTGTTGACATCGCTCGTCTCAGCAAGGCTGAGCCATCGGTGGTGCTCTTGGGTCACAAGTGTGGACATCGACTTCCCGAGGGACCACGCTGTGACTTCCGTCGCCTCTCGCACAGCTCCTGCATCAACCTCGGGTTGGTACTACCCTTGTGCATTTAAATGCCCTGGCTTGGTGTACTCGCAGGATAACCATGGCATACAGGGCAGAGGCGACTTGGCCTGCAGCACTGTAAGCTTCAGCCGCGAGAGCGACGTGGTTGCGAGTCACGACCCGTGCCGAGGAAACAATCATCCCGCCGCGAGGGCTCGGAACCGGTAGGTGTGCACGCCTCCAGCCCGATGCTCGCGGCGACCCGGGAAAGCACGGCCGTCAACTCTGGTTCCGATTCAGCAGTGGCGGCAACACCCGAGGGGGGGCGCCCCGCCGAATCTTCAACCTCAGAAGACGATTGCCCATCCCCCGATGCTACTATCGACATCTGAATGAAACGCTGGGCACGCCGTGAGACGGCACAGCAGAATCACCAGGGAGCTGCACAGAACAGCTGCTGCGGGAGGAGTGAGAGGTCTGTGGGTACTGGCCCAGCGGAAAGGCTCTCACTGTAATCCTCAGATCGCCCAGAGCACTAACCGATGGTTGTCTGCTCGCGGCAGAGAAGCCAGTGCGGGTAGTGACAGAGGGAGCCCCCCCCCCTCTCGGCTCCGAAGCAAAAATCTAAAGAGTGGATGCACCTGTCGCCTATTTATACCCGTATGCACGGGGAGTGGCTCAGGTAAGCAAAATCCACTAGCCAAATTTCATTGGCGTTTTCTCTTAAAGTCAGAGATGATTGGGGCTCCCAAGTGAATCCCCATAATGTCGATCACGACTTAATTCGTAGTGACCTACATAGGGAACTGTGCTGGCAAAATGAATCACAATGAGCAATTTCTCAAAAATTACTTTTTTTCACATTCTCCATTAAAAGACCTTGATGATGTATGATTTGTTGGATTCGGACAAAAAATGGCTGCGCTACACCTGTTTGAAGTCGACATCTAAACAAAAAGCATTCAAGAAAAACTAAAGAATCAAATGTAAAAATCCCTTTAGTGTGTTCAATACAATAAATGTATTATTACAACTACAAAAGCAGTTCAATCTAGAGCAGCGAGTGATACTTTTATTGTTAGATTAACATTAATGAGGCGGCCTATTAAGACCTACTGTAATGCACGGATCTAATATAATGTTACACATCAGATGTTTTTCCCCAAGAGTTCCCCGAACGTTCACTTAAGATATAATTGATTATGTTTGCGTGAATACTTAAATACTGTAATTCTGTATATTGTTATCGCACTGTCGGAAGCGCCTTATACGCGCTTCGGATGACAGTCAGCGCGAGAAGCGAGCGGAGAAAAGGTACTCCTCTCGGAAAACTTACAAATAAAGATAATTTTAGATGTTTAATTACTATTTTGAGCATTAGGATCACTAGACGAGGGTTTAATGAACTCATTTTTTGGAAAACCTCACATTTCAACATTTTTCACTTTTTTGCCTATAGCTCAAAATTAGCGTGCGCATACCAACTCATTTTGCCAGCACGGGTCACATATTTACTAATACAAATCATTGAGCCATTTAGTATTTTCGACTACAAACTGAAGTCAGCCATCTGAACTGGAACATGAATTTGTGAAGAGGAGTGACAATTTTTCAACTAATCATTTTTGAGGGGGTGGAGCAGAGTCCTGTTTGGTGGGTCAGAGGGAAGGGAACGGTTGCTTTCAGCTACATTACACAGACTTCAAAGATTCATATCACCACCGCTCTCGAGACTGATCATGAATACAGATTTTGGAAAACAGGTAATCTGAGGTTTTCATCAGTACTAATTTATGTTTAATACTACAGAAATCTTTGCATTGATTTGTGTTACTTAACGAAAGTGAATCAGCCTTTAAAGACTAAATTTTTGGTAGCTGATTTAGTCGATACTGTTTATACAGTTTATTAACTTTGTAAACCGTACATTTGTTATGTTTTACAGCTTAAAATGAAATACTGTAAGATATTTCTCTTTCTTCTATTAATGATCATGGATGTCTCAACAAATGCTCAAGGTAACACAATGATACACAGAGTAGCAAAACCAGATGTTTTAAATATATATATAATAATATATAATAATATCATGTTTATATATCAGGTTTCATTTTTGAATTCATGTCTGAATTCATATATTGATTTTGTTCAAGTTCATTGACCATAAAACCCAAATAGGTCTAAATTTGAAGTAAAGTTAGCTGTCATTAAACTGATCTGCTCTGCTTTATTCTAGGAAAACTATAAAAGCTTTCTTTTAATAATGGTTAAATTTTTTTCTTCATCTACAGAAGTTAGCTGTGAGAGTGAACAGCTCATCAATGTTGACATTGTTGTTGGAAATCCAGATATTGCTCCACCTTATAAACCTGGACATATTTTAGTTTTTCGATGCACAGATGTGAACCTGAAGATGCACGGCCAACGAGCAATTGAATGCCTGTCAAATGGAAAATGGGATTATCCATATCCGAAATGTGGAGGTATGATGAAATACTGCTATAATATACTTGCTTTGAGTATTTAAGAATTGTTTTTGTTGACATGTTTGTCAACATGCAAATGTTGAAATGTTTATCATGTATAATTAATGTATGTACTATATATATATTCTTGATACCAAAAATTTTAAGAAAATAAAAAAGGTAATGACAATGCATCTATGTGTTATTCATTAAAACATCTATCATTAATGCATCAAACACATAAAACCAGTTCCAAACTGGCAATGAATTCAAGATTTAGTTTTCTGTCCTTCTTCATCTCATAGTGAGTTGATTGACAGCTGACTAACCCCAGTCTCCACTATACAGCAAAACATTATGGCTGTTGGGCAAAGTTAATTTTGTGAACTTATATGATTTTCACCTATACAAACTGTAGGTTTAATCCTTGAACTAGAATATTAAGACAAATGACAACTTCTGATGAATGAATAAATAAGTTCAGATGGATGACTGCAATAACTAGTATTTCTTCTTTCTCTAGATGTCACATGTCTTCTAAACACAAAAGAGAACAACATCAAAATGGATCGATTTCCTGATTTTGAGTGTCCAGTCAAAGCTGGATATAATTTAACGTTTTCATGCAATGGACAAGGACTGATTTTAAAAGGACAGAGAGAAATCACCTGCCAGTCAAATGGAGAATGGAGCAACCCATTCCCTAAATGTTTAGGTAATTGCAGAGAAGGTAAAAGCGTTGAATTATATTATTATCTCAAGCATCACTTTTGCTCATTAAAATATATGCACAATATATATTTATATATATATATAAATATAGGCTCACAACTCATCGGGTCTTCAGTCTCTCTTGATTTGGGCCAAGAAGCAGCCATCGAGAACAACATAGCAACCACAAAGTTATGAACTAGTAATGTGGCAGCGGGTTTAGCATGAATAAACATGCATGATTTTCTTCAGAAAATCAGAGTAATCCAAATCTATTTAACCCTCTGGGATATTGTGACTTATAAACAACACTAAGAAAATTGCATTTAAAATTCAATATTAATGTTCAACCAACAACATTTTATTTTAGTGATGTCAAATGAGATCCCCTTCTTCAACTAGTAAAATTAAAATGTATTAGCCATGTGCTTCACATTTTTGGTAACTAGAGGAGACATTAGCACATGTTAGGTCACATGCTCTCAAGGCTCCATAGTGAGCTCAGTTTAGACTAGAAAATATGGTCCCACTTAGGTGGCCTTAAGTACGATGTACTGTACTTACATTTAAATTAATCATTTGATACAATGCACATATTGTGTACTTACATGTTTTTACATTGTAATTATATTTTTAAAAATACCTGCATATAATTACTTCTGTAATTAATTTCTGTAATTACATTTATAGTTACACTGTTGACCCATCCCTTACATTTTAACCCACCCTTAAACCTACCCATACCACCAAACCTGCTCCTAACCTTACCCGTATCCCACCTCAATAGCAGCAAAAGTGTTTTGTAATACTATATGAACACAATAAGTACATTGTACTTATTTTTTTATGTAAGTACATAGCAGTTAAGGCCACTTAACTTAAAGTGGGACCGAAAATGCATATAAATTCAAGTTATAAAAAATATAATTGTACATCCAAATGTGTTTTCTAAAGTTTTTTTGTCATTTTTAATGCAATTTTATAAAAACAACAACTCCGAGACCAACGAATCTGAGCGTCATGCATAACTGACAAAGTCCTATTATGTGATGCATATTTTGTGTAGCTGGCACTATTGATCAGCATTGGCGGGCAGTATAATATCCTTTATGCATGTGTTTTATGTTCATTTTTGTAAGATTTTTGTAAGATGGAGAGACAAATCTGTACTTATTTCAGAAAGTATTGATGATAGTGATATGAGTGCATCAGAAAATCAGGTTGTAGTAATAAAAAAAGTTGTTGAGGGCCAAGGAGGATAGAAGCAATGAGCGTGAGGGCAGTGAAGAAGAATAGGTTGTTGTGGAAGTCAGGCATTTGGGTACATTATTGTATGCCAGTTTGAGTACACTGAAAAAGAAGAGTCTTGTTGATTTTCACATGTGCTACGATAATTGATTTGAAATTCCAAGATGAAACACAATGCTAAAGTTGTTTTAATGCTTTTGAAACACTAAGACATGGTTTTCAGGCAGTGAAATTGCATCCGAATTTGTGTCAAGTTTTAGACATTTTCACAGGCGAGTTCCAAATCAAATATAGCAGCACAAGAAATCTAGAACTTATTTTTAGATAGTGAAAAAGCATTTGATTGTGTGTGAGTGGGACAACGTCAGTTATAAATGACGGATCCCTAAAAAAATTTGGAAAATGATTTTACACCTAAATATATGTAAAATATAAAGTCAATTATTTTTTAAGCTGTAAATTCGCAATTAGTCCTATAGAGGGAATAATATAATATACTGTAATATATTATATTATTGAAAAATATAATATCAGCCCAGAAAATAAGTTAAAGACTTTGTTTTTCATCTCCCAGTGTGAACCAGCAACAATCAAATGCAATCAAGCAACAATCAAGCAATCAAATGCTCTCTAGAATTAAAATCAATTTAGTATTTTAGTGCCATTGTGCTACACCCTCCTTCCCAAAAGACACCAGATTTAGTTAAATTAATAGTAGATTTTTTTTATCCTTCATACTTGTTCATAAAGGGTGATGTTATGTCCTCAGTATTAAGAAATCAAGAGGTAACAAACAAGTCTAATGCTATTCAGAAAAAAAGAAAGAAAAAAAAAACAGAAAAAGAAATTCAGATTTTTTTAAAATGACAGAAAACACATTTTAATTGGTTCACTTCAAATAAAATGTGTTTACCTAAACACCGTACAAACATCTTAAAACCAAAAACCTTCATATAAAATTGTCCTGTGTTAACACTTAAATACAACATAATTATGTATTGTACAGCAGTAACCTGTGAGCTTAAGTCAACCACATTTGGAGTAAAAAAGATCAAGCCTGCGGGAACAACTATTTTCAGAGCTGGAGAAAGTGTGGAGATCACCTGCTCTGAAAAATACTGGTTATTTGGTACAAAAGAAACCAGCAGATCATTTACATGCAAAGATAATGGAGAGTGGGACTATGAGCCTGTTTGTGCAGGTAAGATTATAGAGAAACATTTCTGGATTTGTGATGAATTTATTGCATGTTATTAAAAGCATGTGAATCTTGTTTCAGAGATTACAGGTGAAACTCCATATGACCAGCATGTGTATAGACTAGGGATGTAATGGTATGAAAATTTCATATAACGATTATAGTGACCAAAGTTATCACGATTATAAATATTATCACGGTTTTGTTAAAATTAGATAAAAATGTTCAAAAAGAACTGATACACACACTGAAAACATTTCAATAAGTTTTATATTTGAAAATCAACAAACAACAAATACAATTAGCAGCTATATGCAATTTTTTAGCATAAACATTCAATTAACATTAACATGAAGCCCTAATAATAATAATAATAAATCATTAATAAATATATATATACTATTACTTCAGTAATGGACACCAAAACCACTGTGTGCTGGTATGTTCTGCTATTAAATGTTAAAATATTTGCAAGAATAAAGATGATGCTACTTTATTTAACAGCTGCCAAGTATGATGGACAAACCTGAATTTATCCAAAGATATTAGCAAGCTAAATTTAAAAGAATGAATCTGACTCACCCAGTCTCTATCCACATACATTTGCTTAGGAAATTTTGGGCACATTTTACATACAGTCAATTCATTATAACATATATGGCACAAATTCTACATTTTTACATTTTGCACTTACTTGTTCTATTATCAGAATGTCACAAATCAAATGAGAATTTATTGATGCTGTTGAATGAGACAGATTTGTACAACAACAAAATAAATTCTGAGAAACAAGTGCATTGAGCCATAAAATGAAATTCTGGAAAAACAATGCAACACAAGCACAACTTTTGCTCATATTATAATATGTGCGCCAATTGGCACATAAATACGCACGCAAGTTTCTCTTGACTTGGTCTAATTCTGCAGCAGGTTTTGCATGGATAAACACCACTCATTAATAGCATGTTCTGTGGTTTAACAGCAAAAAAAACAATCTGGCTAAAATTAAGATTTACTAATGCCACATTTTTTTTGGTGATGACTGTCTCAGGGAAATGTGGACCACCACCAGATGTAAACAATGCAGATACAATAGAATTGAAAAAAGATGAATACAATACAGGGGAGAGAGTTGAATATAGCTGCTTTAATAAATTCACTTTGGATCTGCGTCCATCTTTCTCCAAATACTTGACCTGTGTGAAAGGAGAATGGAGAGGGAATATTAGGTGTTTAAGTAAGTATGAACACGCTTCACCATATATATCATATAAACACATCATGATGTAGTCTTGTAGTTTAAGTTGTAGGTTGTGATGATTAGTTAATGAATGTATATTGTGACACTGATAGAGACATGCTGGGTTTATTTCAGAGCCCTGTACAGTGACGGTGGAGGAAATGGAAAGAAGAGATATAGAGTTTGCCTTTGTTAATCGACAAAAGATGTTCATACCCCATGATGATCACATCAGTTTTATGTGTAAGAGGGGCAAAGTTTCAGGAGATATTCCCCTAAAACAACAGTGTAATGATGGAGTGATTACTTTACCTGAGTGTGTGAGACAGTGAGAGTAAAACATTGCTAAATCACTACTAAGTAAAACTAATGGAGCAGATCAAAATTAAATAAAAATGTCCCAATCAGTTTCTTTATTTTAAATTTCTTGCAAATAAAACTAAAGAAATGCTAAAAGCAATATTTAAAATGAGCATGTTTGAAAATAACATTAAACCATTTAATGTCAGCTAAGTGAACTTATGTATTGTACAGAGTACAATGAAAACTTTTCCAAATAAAAAAATTTAAAAAGTTGCAAAAACTTTATAGGAGAAAGTTTAAAATAATAAAGTATATAGCCAATTTTTTTTTTTTTTTTTTTTTTTTTTTACTATCACGCAAATATGGGGGAAAAGGAAATACATGTGTTATTAAGCTTCCTTTTTACTTTGTGCCATGTGCGCTGGGTTTTCTGCTGATTACGATTTTGCTTGAATATATATGATCATGACTTACATGAAACACAGCAGTAATACATAAATAATAGACGCTTTAATATTTATATGCATTAAAGTGTATCAACATGCTTTCTGTGCTTATTTTAATGGAGCTATGACGTCATCTTTTAAAAAAGCAAACTGGAATGCCAGCCATGCTATATAAATGTGTACTTTCATAGCAGACAAGCAGTGTTCGAACTATACCGTGGACTTTGGGGGTAACAATCAAATGCAATCAAGCGATCAAATGCTCTCTAGAATTAAAATCAATTTAGTATTTTAGTGCC